TCCTCGAACAAAACGGGATCTTAAGGAGGGGACGCCCCCTTTTCTGCCGTGCAGCTGTGAGTTGGGGACGCTCAGAAACGTTCTCCGCGGCGCCCTTGGCTAACGTTGGAGCAAGAGGGCTTGGAATGTTGGGTTCCCCTCGCTTTATCCTAGGGTTACGTTCCCCGAAAACCTCGCTTGAAGCGAGGGAAAGCTGCATTTTGTAAAATAATGTTATTAAAATACCGGTCCAGAGAGTGATTTTTATACGTGTAATTATCACACAGGATCTTTCATTCTACTCCTTCCCGATGAAATTATATATATAAAATTACATACATATGTATGACACTATGTAATAGGCATAATATTCACCTTTTATCTCCCACATAAAGATTGACTGATTTTGTCCCATCAAGTTGTTTTGACCACATGGATTAGAGAACATAAAGATTGATTGGTTGATTAAATACCACCAAGTTTCTGCATGATGATCTGTCCCTAACCTGTTCTTTCAAATCTCCCAGCGGTGCAACTCATCATCACCATAACAGTCCATCCACCTCGCTGCTGGCCATCATCTTCTCTTTCCTTCCACCTTTCCCAGCATTAGAGCCTTCTCCAGAGAGCTGGGTCTTCACATAATGTGTCCGAAGTAGGACAATTTGAGCCTGGTCATTTGTGCCTCGAGTGAAAACTCTGGGTTGAGAGAACATAAAGAACAAGTTTATATTTCCATGTGGATGCTCACAGTGTGTCAAGCCGCTGTACTTGGCATAAATAATCCATTTGAAAGTTCCTAGACAGTCAGAGTTCAATGGCGTTTGGTCCTAAGACCAGAAATCTTAAAATATTCTACATACCAACATATCCTGACAGAACCTTCAGGACAAATAATGTGTAAGAACTTAATTATTAGGGAATAAAACAGTATGAATTTGGTGAATCAGATCATCCTGATGTATCTACATTGCAAATGTATAAATAATAACAGAGCACGTGGTGCAGTTTAACTAAGTACCCAGTCATAATTTAACATCATCAGTGGATAAACCTATATAGGGACTCCACAGGTCAGTTGGATATTTTGTATAGGGAGAGAAAGAGACAGACAGACAGATTGATTGATTGATTCATGGATGTTGTGCCCATTTCCAACTCACAAAAGAATACTCTGATATAGAAATCCATGACAATACAGTACTTTGCAAAAAAATAGTGTGGCCTCACAATGCACACTAATTTTTTGTGCCTAGAACCCAACAAGTGTCTTACCTTAGGATTCCTGTTGTGCATGCACACATACACAAACCTAACCTCCAGTCCATTAGGACAAACAAGCATGAAAAGGAAATTACAGTACATGCTGCAGCTAATAGTGCTGGCAGTTCTGGATTTGTCTCAATTCTCTTAAGTTAACTTAAATCCTGCCCAGGAACTGGAGAGAAAGAGATGTACCCACAGCAGCTTAAAGTGGGCAAAGTAACTGGGCAGATCAACCACTGATGTATCATCAATGAAGCATTCTAGTCCACGTTCACAGCAATAACTGTTTCAGGAGAAAAGGGAAAATACCACTTTAAAGCTGGAACAGCTAAAGATGACTTAAAGCTGCTTCAGCTGTGGGCTGGGGATGAGACAAAATGAAAGCAATGTCATATAAAAACAATTAGCAGGGCATGTTTGGGCTGTGATTAGGAGGGTGTAAGGATGAACCCCAGGAGAACAACCTTGCTCATCCTTGCGTAAATAACCACAGCTTGCTGGATCAGACCAAGTAGTGCATTAGTCCAGCACAGAGATCCCAATAACCTCTCAACTGCTAATACAAGCACAACATGAGGACAGTATAACTTTCCTGCTAATTTCCCTCAGCTACTGTCACTGAGAGGCACAGAGCTTCTAGTAAGGAGGTAATACTATAAATAGCTATTATGACTAATAGCCATCAACAGCCATAGTGTCCATGATTTAACCTAAACCAGGTTGATGGCCTGCTTTGAATACTATAGTGTTATGCTTTTATAGTTAGCTCTTACAGGCACTGAAAAGGGAAAACATCCTTTAAGTCAGGCTGGTCAGTGACTGTTCAGTGATGTTTTCTTGGCAACAATATGAAGAGGTTTGCTGTTACCTTCTTCTGGAAAGCTTTTCTGACTTCTGGGTCAAGCCTACAAATCCTGGATTTTCCTGGTGGTCTCCCACCCAAGGACTAATCCTATCTGATCCTGCTTAGCTTTTTCCAAGATCAGCCATGTCTAGCTAGATGTTTATATCCAGGTGAGCTGATGACTATAAGCACTTAGTATTGTCCTAATTTGTGCAAGAAAATCTAAATAATTCATACTGTATTTATGTGAAGCACTGGGGGGAAGTGTTACACTGCAGCCTTTCTCAATTTCATTCCCTCTTGACATATTGGACTTCAGCTCCTAGAATTTCCAACCAACATAGCTGTTAACATTTTTGGGAGTGGTGGTGGTGGGGAAACAAAGCTGAGGAAGGGGATTTACTGGTTATACAGAGCACAGTATATTATAAACACCTTATGGCGGCTCTCATTGCACAAGAGATGTTCTGAGTGGATTAACATTTTTATAATCCTTTTGAAACAGCCTGAATGTAAAAGAACTCTTAAGTAGCATAAAAAGATCAACTAAGCCATCTAAATTATTTCTTAACTTGCTGTATTGAAGCCATTCATTTATCTATTTTCACATTGGCAAAGCAATCAAAATCTTCCCTAGCAGGGAAAGAAGAGAGTGGAGGTAGTTTAGGGCACAATCTTATACTCTAAGGTATTCTAGCTAGATTATGTGGACGAAAATGTGTTAGCCCACTTATCTTGAAATGTGCCTCCACCGCTGGAGATACGTACTGTGGATATGGTGGTGCATTTCAAAAATGGTTTGTTTGCATGGCTGCAAAAATCCCATTGGTTGAGGACCGAAATCAGGGCAGGAAAAGCAGAGGAGCAGCCGTACAGTGAATCCCACACATATCAAATTCTGATACTATCCCATTGTCAGGCTTCACACCAAAACTCAACAGTAAATTAACTTCCCAACAATTAACCCTTTGTTCAGTGCTAAACTTGATTTGGCAAATGACTGATAAGACTCAGCTAAATTAGAATCTATAGCACATAGAGCACACAAGATTGAACCCTTGGCACAAGTTGATTGCCACCGCAGAGCAAAAAATTAGTTTTTATCCATTCTGATTTAACGTGTACTTACAATTACAATATGTTTACATAACAGTTCTTTCTAGCCTAGGAACCACTGGTTCCCACCTCACCAGCTTCAGCCCTTATATCAATGTTAGTGCACTGTTGCACCAACTTCAGAAGTGATTCTTAGGAAAAAATCAATCATTTCCATCCTCCTCTGCTTTCATCCTTCTCTGCTTTATTACACTGGCTGTGTTTGTACAACACTCTAATTCATGGCTATCTGAATTATGAATTATTAAGTTCACTTGATTGCATGACTCCGCCCAATTAATTGAATCAAAACCTACCGTAACTATACTAGCTAAGTTCCCACAAAACACTAAACCACAAACTAGTCAGCCATATTTTACCTTAGCATGTGCTAACCCAGCTATTACCAGAATGAAATATAAGATTTGGATTAATTCAGACAAACGGCATCAATCACAGCATGCCACCACCAACAGATAAACGTGTGATATATGGGAAATTAATCCATGCAAGAAAATGCAAGGAGGCAAGTAAATGTCCTGAATCAAATCTTCAAACCCTTTGGCATCTAAGTCAGAACAGTTGCAAGTGATTTTTATCTTTGCAAATAAGTCACTGCTGCCAAAGTTTCTAGTAGCTGCCTTGGGGACATAGATTAATAAGAGCTCTAAATGCTCAGGACAGCATTGCTGCATGATATTATGTAAATGTATTGGCAGCATTGAACTTCACTATGTTTTCCAATTGTACTAAGCCATAATGTGGTTTATCTGGCTTAGTGTATTATATGAATACCATTACCATGTTTGAACTGATTATGGCTTAACACGATGAGTAAACTACAGTGGTACCTCTACTTATGAACACCCCTACTTATGAATTTTTCGAGATACGATCAGCTCCGGCCCCAAAAATTTACCTCTACTCACGAACTCGCCTCGACTTACGAACCGGATCCGCGGGCATTTTCCGCCCGTTCCACATGGTCCGTGGCCATTTTCCGCCCATTCTACATGGTCTGCGGCCATTTTTCTGCCCATGCCACGTCGTCCGCGGCCATTTTCCTCCCATTCCACGTGGTCCGCGGCCATTTTTCCGCCCATGCCACGTGGTCCGTGGCCATTTCCCGCCCGTTCCACGTGGTCCGCGGCCATTTTTCCTCCCATTCCACGTGGTCCGCGGCCATTTTTCCACCCTGCCACGTGGTCCGCGGCCATTTTCCGCCTGTTCCATGTGGTCCGCGGCCATTT